GCCCCTATTCCCTGAATAGCCCCTTCCGCGAATAATATCCACATCACTCTTCGTTCATATTACAGACAGTATAAAATTTTATACGACCATGCTATAAATACAAACAGGTTTTCGGTTCGGAGGCCTATGTTTATTAATTTAGAGATATAATTTTGAAGCCTCCGTATCTCCAGTTGTGACTAGATTGGGTACTTACATTGCATTAAAGATTGCTGAGTAGATAAAAATTTATACATTATGTGGAATATGTACACCAAAAGGTAAAGGTCTCTAAAAGCAAGCAAAATCCTAAAAGAAGACCTACCTCTTTGTTTCATACTTTCAATTTAGCGAAGTACAAATTGAAATACATGTTTTACACGATGCTGTACAATAACCCAATCAATTAACTGGATGCCTGCAACCATTCCAATCAATGACTCACCATCCTATATAACGAATGCATCACGAAAACACAAACAAGTGAATTGCAGCTCGTAGATCGTGCTAGTGTGCCGACGCATAAGGTGTGACGTCACACATCATGATCGCTTAACAATATTGAGCACACCCTTTGCCCTAATTTTGCCGGGGCTGAAACAGCGTGAAACGAGTCACTCCTTTTAGATCACAAAAGCACCTGCACTAACTCTTTTGCCCGTTTTGCTGAAAAGCCAGCCTCCAAAAAAAAAGCGTGCAACGAGTCACTCTCCTTAGATCATGAAAGCACCTGAAACTCCTTAAACCTATCCCAATTAGGCTATGGAAGTCATCATCATCATCATCATTTTCAGCCATAGGACGTCCACTGCTGAACATAGGCTTCCCCCAATGCTTTCCACGTTGATCGATTGCTAGCGGCCTGCGTCCAGCGCTTCCCTGTTTCCTTTACGATGTCGTCGGTCCACCTTGTAAATGGAGGACTATAGAAGTCATTATCGTTAAAAGCTCCGCAGACGCGACACAATAACCCAAGATTTCATTTATCAGGCGCTCACTCCCACAATCGCTCAGAACAATGAGTCACACTAGCAAGTGCATCGTGAAATCACAGACAACTGCTCTACGATCTAGCCAAATCGATATAAAGAGCTGTGGTTTTCTGATTAAAGAAAAATAAATAAATAAATCGGCAATGAAAGAAAAAGATTCGCTAGATTTTTCTAACAGATTGACCGGTTTGACCGCATTGTAAAGTACACGACTGGTGATCCTAAAATGGGCACCGGTTCAATCATATCATATATGGATTGGAGCATGTTGGAGGGCAATATTTTTTCTACATCTACAACTCGTAACGATGCACTTAACAAAGTACGAATACCACTTCTTCTTCTTAATTTGCTTATGGCCAGGTCTAAGATATTACGGCCCAAATTCATATTAAAGGACACACCACAACCTGGCTCACGCAGAGCTGCCATGATCATTAAATTAATGGGGGAAACATGGAAATATATCCTTCGCTTAATAACCTACCCCAAACGTGCAATGCTTTCATGTTTGCTTGGAATTCGCAATTAAGAACTCGGTTTAGCCTCGCTTATGGGTCCCTCCAGGAATGCTTTCCTTGGCATGGCGGTGAATCACGAAGGTAACTCCGACCTATCCCAACGTGGCGGTCGAGGTGGAAAAGTGTCTGTTCGCAGAAAACATTTCCATGGACGCGACACAATAACCCAAGGACCTCAATTATGGGGCTCCCACCGGCTGGGCGCCCGCGGCTGCGCCGGGTGCATTCACCGTCGGATCGCGTGCGGCGCCAGTGCGATAAACCATCGCCCCCATAGGGAAACCATTGATTTGGATAACGGCATTAACAAAGTTGCGCTATAAAAGTCGGGGAATGGTCTGGTTATTAGGGGTTTGCGAAAAATGCGTTTTATCTGTGATTAATTTTCATCACATGGAACAGAAATTGTCGAATGACTGGTTCCACCATATGATTCAAGAAAAACAACCCTGTTTTTTAAAACACACATAAATGATCTATGTAAGAATAAATTGGTGTTTATATGAATTGAAACATGTCAGGAAAGTGACCAATATTTCAACAGCACTTGTGTCCTACCATGCCTTTGTTAAATTGATTCTGTTATGGTCTTATAGGATGGCGAAACAGTAACAGATTTTAAGAGCCTTCATTGCACAGAAAAAAAATATTAGAGCTATAGCCAGGTTACCATCTGACAAATCATGTAGGTAGACCCTTGGTCAATGAGTTTGGTAAAAAAAGATGGGCACCTTAGTTCTCTATGTAAAATATGACCTATCTCTTAGCACTTTCTTCATAATACATAGTAGCATTTAGGAAATGAAACTAAATTACAATCAAAGAAATAATTTATGGATGGAACCACGATGGAAGAAATCTTGTCATTTAATGTAAAGATATCCCATCGTCACATCCAGACTCAAGTGAATCAATAAAAGATATTAAATATAAATTGACTTGCATTTGAGTCACTTAAGCACCCCATGCACTCAAGTTTCAATTGGTAAATTGAGTTATTGACCTAACATGACAGAAAAACATAACATCATAAAATATTGATTTGTTCAATTTGGAAATCGAAATCAATAAAAAGATAATTTTAATAAATAAATAATAGTAATAAATGAGGCATTCACCAATAATATAAGTAGTAACCTTGCAGCATATTATTATTAATCAACCATTAGTTAGCCTGTATGTGCATTAAATGTCTTTCCAGATTGCAACATCTTTGCTTATTATTTTTTATTATTATTTCAATCTTTATTTGCCGTTATATCTTTTCAGTTCATACTTTATCTTTCATTCAATTAATGCATATCCAACCCATCGAAATAGTTGGATATTATGACTATACTGACAATTTGTATTTGTTACTTACTTTGAAGAAATATAGTACAAAGTATGTCACACTGCTGTCTTCAGAAACTGATGAATGGATTATTTAGTAATATTTTTATAAAGTTTTTTAAACTGAAAAAATCTTTCACAGTCAAGAGGAAAACATACTTATGGGAAATGTATCAGGTTTTAATTGCCTTAAAGTTTAATTAATTTTAAAGTAAATAAATATTAGAGGAAAATCTAATTTCTACTAGACCAAATATAGGTAGCTACTAGTAATTAAGAGGATAGCAGTTCTAACTTTGGTCAGTGAATTAGTTTGGCTATATAAAATATTTTTTCAGTGTTATTATTTCTGATAACTACAAAACCAATTAAAAAAAAGATTAATCAATTTCAAGTAACACAATAAAGCAATGTTTCAAAGATGTAAAAGGAATGTTTGATCATAACAGACACCAAACTAATCGAAAACCTAGATGAGCACAAAGCATAACCGGTGATCTATTTCAAAATATTAAATATCGACCTTCAGGCACGAATTCCGTAATATCTCACAAAGTATCTGATATTGACCAAATACTTAGCACAATAAGAAGGAAAACTGTAGGGACATTTCGTAAATGTATTTAACTTATTAAATAGCCTGTTATAATAAGTAATGGAACTAATATTATAAAGTACAACTCGGTCAGCTATGACCAATCCCTGAAAAATCAATAACACTAGACCACTGCTATCGTAGCCTTCTGAATTCTGTGAAAATGTGATAAACCATCTAGTTTAACAACTTACCCGTTTGTGCACTAGAAGTTCACGATTACAGAGCACGAATGTTCAATAGAAAGTTCCTCAAAATATCTTTATTTATTATTTTTTCTTCACCACAATTTTTGAACAAAGCGAACTGACAATCACCTGATTTGACAGCTCTGGCTGATTTGACAGATAACGCTCCGTTTCGTTTCACAGGAAAATATTTTTCCTAGAAATTAAAATAACCAGTAACGTTATTTAAAAAAAAATACCGTTACAAAGCGGTACAGTAGTTTTCAGTTTAACGTTACAAAGTGGTACATTCGTTTGCAGTTTAATACAATAAAAAGCTGTATTCTAGCAAAATCAACCTATCACAAATACCTGGTTGGATAAAAGTAATGACTTCAAAGGTAGCAGACATTAAACCTCTGTGCCAAGTTTAATTCAGTAGCTGGGGATTTTGGAGAATTGGCTCCGTGCACGATTACAGCGCCAACTAGCGTCCACAACTTTGTGGGCTCTGTCACATTGACATTTAGGTCGTATATTTGTGAAAAAATATCGAAATGAAAAAATAACAAATATTTTCAACTAATAAATTGTTGTGATACCACGATTTGGGTGGAAAAAAGGTTTTGAAATCATTTTGGTCATTCAAATCAAATGAGGTAAGTCCAAAAAGTGTGTTTAATTTTGATTGTGTCAGGGTTTGTTTACTTCATTTATAGTTGTAGTTTTACAGTAAAACAAAAAGAAAAAGCTACTTTAACGGTTTCATTATATAACAGTAAATATATTTAAATGTTTCTGTATCGCTAGTAATAAATTAAATATCGTTTTCAGATCGAAATGAGTATCGTTTTGAAGACCGGGTTTGTGAGAGTTACAATATCAAATTCCAACCACAAACCGTATTTAAAGGAAAGTTGTTGGTATTGGCTGGACAAGTCCGAGATGTAGAAGAATTAAGAACAAAACAAGGGCAGAGTTCAATAATTCACGCTCTCATCATAAGGCAAACATCTGTGCACAACAACTACTGTGACTCATTTTTGTACTACCACGTTGTATAGTTTAGTTATTTCCAAATTGTAAACGGCTATTAAAACAGCCCTATCGAAATACAGTCCACTCTTTTATTTAAGTTCCCAGTAGGACCCTTTTCATGCGATTAATTAATGATATTAAAATGTATTATGTAGAATCGCTTTGCCATTGACAGATACATCTGATGACAGAGCTAACATTATTTCTACTTTTGACCACCATGAGCGCTGCGATAGATTATGTCCCCCCCACCTAGTACTTCGCACCCAGCGAATAAGGATAGCGGGTCATGCTGATTGTGTGGTACAAATTGAAATTGTAAAAGTTTAGGAATGAGTTAATTGACTATGAATGTTTATGTAAATAAAACTCAAAATAAGGACATTACATGTTATTCAAGAACTTGGTTATCACAATCTAATGCACTTTCACCTTGTGAGTTTTGCAATTTTTTTAAAGCTTTAATCCTAAAAATGCTGAGGTATTTATTTTACTTCAGGGCATTCTCGTATCTGCACGAGACATCTTTCCAGTTTGCGATATCGAAAATTGCCTTCACATAATCAGCGCGAACATTTTTGTACTGCAGGTAGTAGGCATGCTCCCAAACGTCAATCCCGAACAGGGGAATCAAACCTGTAAATATAGAAAGGTAAGTTTGAAATGAAGGCTCTCAAAATACATAAGTATAAAAAATATAACTAATGACAGCAACTAAAAGATACTAGTCTCTTCCAGCAGAAATCGATTATAGCAGGGTAAGCAATTAAGGTACATACCAGTGGTGGCTTGCAAAGGGTCTTGGTTCTGGCATGTGGCAATCATCAACTTTTTCATCTGCTTGTTGTAGCCGAGCCAGCCCCAACCGGAGCCTTGGACGCCGACCGACGCAGCCGCTAATTGGTTCTTCATGTTTTCCCATGACCCAAAGTCTCTGGAAATTTCAAATAATGAGCCACTGAGTTATGTATTGTATAGATATTTTAATAGATTAATGTATATGTTACGGTCAATGTGATAAATTGAAAATTATTAATAATAACCGGTTATTATGAATAATTACCGACAGTCGCGGTAAAAGTGATAAATTAATCACATTTAACAGTGATTATTTAATAATTCAACCTTAGTACTATCAAATTTCATACAAGAGAACAACTTCTTGTGTACGTGCTCGTGTACAGCCAAACTTTTGAACGTTTTGATATCATATATTAATATAATTTGGCATAATGAGTTTGGAATGTTTCTTGCATAATATTACTTTTCCATGATGCCTATAACATAATGTTTTGATTTAAAGCGAAAAATAGGTTAGGGTGCGGCGGGGGGGGGCCCTTGGGCCACCCCTAAGCCGCCTATTTAGTTTTATACACACATAAATGACCTCATATTAATCACATTTACCAAATCATGCGGTAATTATTCATAATAACCGGCGATTATTCATAATTTTCACATTTATCACTTTGACCGTAACATATACACAAAGCTGGTAGTGTTCTTATTTAATAGAAAAAAATACAATAAATTTTGGAGCACATAATAAAAATTAACTACAACTGCAATAATTTAACTGAATATAAAAATAAAGAATTCTACTACGAAATAAAAAGCAAATAAAGGTAGCTGTTTATCATATTTGTTGTGACTATTGTAGACTGATAACACTTAATGTTATTGTAGTGCAGAATATTATTGTAGTTTAAGATTTCTTATCATTCACAAAGGCACATAAAAGCTTTAATGAACTAAAAACATTTTATAGTACAATGGACATTCAAAAAATCATGCAAATATAATTTTGAATACTTCTCAATGGCTTTGGTGAGCTCATCAGAGGGTTTTCCCCCATTGGGGGAGAGATTCTGCCAGAAAATGGTGTGGTTGATGTGGCCACCACCATTGAACCTGAGGGCTGGGGCCAGGTTAATGACCGTCTCAATGTCACCTGTAGCAAATATTCAATAATACAAAAGTCACACTTTAAAATGGTTAAAGGTCAAGAGTAATTAAGGTAGCATAAATACATAACCAAAACTACAATGACTAATTTATTACATTTAGGACATCAATTCATATACTATTCAGTAAATACAAATTAAAAGCTTTAAAATCTGGTAAATTACATCAAAACTATGCATAACTATTTAATAAAACATGTTATAAAAAGAAAAAAATTACTGTTCAACTGCACAATAAAATTCACACGAGGGATCAGCTTTGATAGGGGTCAAATTATTCCAGAGTATAGAGTGGTTCATGTGGCCACCTCCATTAAACTTGATGGTGTTTAGGAGGCCCAGGATAACATTAGTATCAGCTGCTGTCAAACCAATTTAAAATGTAAATGACTGTTTCCATATTTATAGGTTGGGGACATTTATTAGTTGACTTCATTACATTTTATGCAAAATAATAAGATGGAGAAACTATGCCTAAACAAGAACTAGTCACACAAGTAGGTTGTATACATTTTGTTATTAATGTAGATAGATCTATATTGAAAGACTCTTACCTTTAGCCTGTGCCTGAGCGAGCTTCTCCTCAGCAACATTCAGGTTGTTGACGTAAGTGGCGTGGTGCTTGCTGTGGTGCAGGTTCATGATCTCACGGCTGATCACCGGCTCCAACGCATTGTACTCGTATGGCAGGTTAGGCAGGCAGTGCTTTTGCCTCGCACCACCCACCGCCCAACTAAAACAAATACGATTATTGAATAACAGTTCAGCTAGGAAAGAAAAATCAATATCCTTTCAAAAAAACTGTAATTACACTAAAGATCCAACCCGGCGTGAAGCGAACATGTTTATAAAACGATTGATTTGTTACTGCCGAAGAACCGGCACTTTTCTTTCTGTATTTCGAGAAATTTTCAGCTGCAAAAATTATGCAACTCGAAAAGTCAGCTGTCAGTTTGACAAGCTAAGGAAGGGCACTACAATGTTGTTGAATCGATTCGAGAATCGATTTCAAATCATTGAGACAAGGCGTATTCCATTAAGCTATTTTTTTTACAATGATAAAGTTTTTTGTTGGACCGCAGTTGGTGTTTTCATGTCGTCGCGGATCACGTCACGTACGCAACTTCCGTTGTGTGCGCGCCGTTCATATTCACACGAGAGTTTTTTATGTTTGTGTGTGTTATTTACGAAGTACGACGTGCAAGTGCGGTGTTGTGAAGGATTTCGCCGATTTATATTTTAAATTACACGTAAAACTGATGAAAATCAGATCTCAATACATATAGACAATAATCGATCTTCGTGAGAATAAAGTTTTTTCCTGTTTCCACTTTCAAGTATCGAAGTTGTGTGTATGTTACTATATTGAGCAGTAGTAGTAGTGCATTTGTTTATTTATAGACAGTCGCAATTTGCAGTCATGTAATTATTCTTGTGGCGCTAAAATGTCTCAGAGAGATACTGCTATACACCTTGTTGCCGGCGGGTGAGTAAAGTTTCCCCGTATGAACCTTAATCTTGTAGTTATCATTACCTTCATCTATATCACTAATATAATCGTACTGATCATTGGCACATGTGGCGAAAGGTTGTTTACGATTGCTCTCCGCCAACGCTTTTATTAAATCTAATTAAAGGTTGATTAACTTTGGTATGTTAATATTTATTTAACCCTAATTTTCCAACTAGAACCCAAATGTATAAGTTTACAAGGCTAAAATTTGTGATGTCAAAAGTACAAGACCTTGTCACTATCTTTACTGTGTATTGAACGTATTTTTGGACCTGTTTTTATGATATTTTGATGGCCTTTCAAAGCAGTAAAAATGTAAATAAACAATTGAAAATATGTTTTTCAACTTCAAATATTGATGGAAACTCTTTATAGCACAACACATTCACCTAAGTTCATATTATATGGTTCTAACTTTTACAAAACACCTATAAAAATGTTGACTTTGACTGTTAAAAAATCAACATCACATGGTTTCAGCTCAGCACCAATGCGAGGTTAATTTTACCCAAGTCTAGTGTTGCCAGGTCAATATGGTGTGAAAAGTGCTTTTTGTAATTGAACACATCCATCCATCACAGTCAGATAAGTGCTGGAATACTATCAGCAATTATCTCACCTACATAGAGCAGTCAAAACAAAAACTTTCCAGTAAACTGTATGTTAGAAAATTCAACTAAAGTGGGAGATTCCCGCTAAATTCAACTAGGTACAGTAGGTGATTTCCACCAAAAATGTTTCTAGGAGGTTCTTTAGTACATAAAATTGTAATAGGCCTGACCATTTTATATCAGGATTCATGGATGACTTACTTTTTGACTTAATGTTTTGAAAGAAAGAAAGAATAGTATTTATAAAAGTTTTGGATTAATGGATGATCATATATTCTTAGGTGTCAATTTAGGTATGTTCATCTCCTTAGCAATTGGTCTGAAACCCTAAATATCTGCCAGAAGAAAAAAAGAGGAAATGACAGCATAGCAAGTTTTTTATTGAATTGGAAATCATCATATTTTTGTTTTGATTCCAGAGTGGCTGGAACTGCTGGTGCTGTTGTAACTTGCCCCTTAGAAGTGGTCAAAACTCGTCTTCAGTCGTCCAAAGGAGTAGGGGTGCCACCACCAGGCCCCCCTCCATCTGATAATGCTACCAGCACAAGGAAAGTCTGCTCAAAAATTCCCAAACATCAGGTACGGACTTTGCTCTTTACATTTCAGTTGCATATCTTAAGTATGTTTTGTTTTATCTCAAATGTTTGACATTTACTGATTATATTTCGTATGATTAATGTTGGTATTCCTACACTTAACAACAGCCTTATGCATACTTTTTAAAGTATTTAAATTAAGTACTTTACTAAGAACATAATTTGCCTCTAAAGTGGTTCCCCAACTTAATAACACTTAACTACAAGTATCTGGTATTCATTATCTATTTTTTAAGTATGTACAAGTATACTACCTACTATTTATGCCATGTGATTGATTACACAATATAAACAGCAAGATAATATGTAATCGAGGATAGAGAGCTACTATGTTTACTAATGGTAAAAAGAAACTTAAATCCCCTCCCGTTGATTAAATTGGTGCCCAAGTTGTAGGGTTGGCTATACAGGGTGTATTATGTATAGAAAATTAAGAAACAGAGAAACCAAAAAGTGCTCTATCATCTGTTTTAATCTATAGAGTGGCTTAAGGTATTTTTATAATTACTTCATGTAGTAAGTAAAATGATGTAAAGTTTAAATCAGTAAAAATTAAAATCCTAAAAATATTTCCTTCATTTTAAATAAACTTACAAAGTAACTTTGACTTGTCTAATTATTGTAGGCAAACAGCAACTTATAAGTTTCAATTCAAAATATTGCACAATCGAAAATCATGTCCCTTCTTCCTAGAAGAGAAAATCTATAACATATGACGCAATACCTACCCAGTATGAAGGAACCACTGCTAATATAATGTAATAAGTGTAATACCTAAAGGAACAAAGCAATTGTTGTTTAAAAAAGATTATCATTAACTGGTAGGTATTATCACCCGGTTTTCGATTATGTTTGCATACGTAAGTTAATGTAAAAATAGGTGTGGTATAAGAATAAACATAAAACAGTCGATGAAGTATAATTGTTGTCGGCGCGAATTCTTATTGTAGGTTTATCAGCATTTTCGCGGTCCTCAAATACCTACCTAACTAACACATTTGTGTGTAATTCTTATTTCTTTTCGCTTTTCTGATAAACGATATTTAAAGTCATCGCGGAACATTACCAATTAAATATTTTTTCTGTTGCATTTATTTGCTAACTAGTCAACAAAAGTCGATGTAATTTAATTATACCTACCCCTTTTGCCAATTGATGGTCCACCAAAACAACATTCCTGTTTATTTACCCTAACCAAAAGAAAATTAATATTACTCATAAGTTTTTGGTAAATACGATTAATCAATATCAATTGTTTATAATCCACAGTCTTATTATGACCATGAGTATCAACTTTTATAATCTGAAATTGTTGTAAACTGCGTCAAAAGAAGGGCGACATCTTTCTACGAAACGTAATCTGTCTGTATCGAATTCGGATAAAACTGGATCGAACTAAATATGATTGTTTATTGACATTCTTTTGATAAACAAACCCCTGTAGAGAATTGACTGTGATAAGCTGGCAGCATGCTTAAACATAATTAATATTAAGCAAATATTAACCAACGAGGCGATAGTCGCTAACGTTCACCTTCTAAATTTGTAGTCTTCGTAGTACACTCTTGACTGATAGGACCGTAGGACAGAAGGTACGGTCTTCAATAAGTATGTGTCTTGTTTCATTGCTATTTTTCCTAGACAGCCACTAATTCTATGTCTGGCTCTACAATTAACGCATTGTAATTTGGGAGCCATGTCCCTCCTCCATTTTGATGATTCAGATGTTAGGAATTTGAACAAAGTGCCTTATAGGGTATACTGTAGGCACTGTAAGCCCAACGTAACCAGTCTAAGCTCTAGGTTTCCTTCGATATTATTGTTCTTACGCTTTTTTACTACCCTGAACTCCGTAGTACAGGTCAAGCATCGATCGTACGACCTCAGATTATGAATGCCCCACTGGACTATCTTGTCTCCATCTACTCAAATTCAAGTAATTTACAAAATGCTTTGTCTCTCTCTTGAAAGACATCTGGCACTAGCAGCTTAGCTATTATTGATCCAGTTGTTATTTTGTAGCATTGCACCAAAACAACACGGATTGTTTGCACAATGGATGAAATCATAAGCTCTTCAAATATTTGAGTTGATGATACAGTTCAACTAAAATAAAATTAAAATCTTATAATACAGTTCCTTTTTTGAAAGTAAGTAAATTACAATTTTAATGACTTACCCACGATTAACTCAAATGCTCTGGTAATGAGAAATATAGGTATTTTTCTAAACTTATTATAATATTACAATAAGTGGTTGGAAAGAATAATAGGGACAATTGTAACAATTCATCAATAGTATTCTACGGTCGGCATCTGACGTAACTACGCATCTTACGATATCATAAACGAATAACGATCTATCAAGCTAACTAATACCAAGCAAGACGTTGTTATTACTTATTATTGTGACGATAATGATTCGCATAATTGGGTGTAATGTCACATGGATGCCATGTTTTTAATCGAATTTGTTTCAATATATTTTTCTAAAGCACCCTTTAAACGGCTACGACTAAATCGACAGGTGTTATGGGTTCGAATCCCGCTGGTAAAAAATGCTAGCGTAATAAGCTCTAGCACATAATATCCGGAGTCAATGACGTTTTTTGTGTACGTAAAGTATTATTATTCACATGTATCTCCGTTATCTAGTCGCCATAGTAGGCACAAACTCTGACTTTAGTGTTAGGTAATTGTTGTGATAGTAAGAATCATTTTATTATTTATCCATGACATTTGTGTACTCATTAGCGTTACGGCAGATTAAAAGAAATTATGGAGCTAGTGACCCGCCACATTGGCTCGAGTCCAAAGATTGGCTCCTAAACATTTTGCAAGCCAAATCATGTTGCTCCGTTGTACCTACGAAAATTGCCATGTTCTTGCTTCAGAAATCAGCAGTTCAATGTCTCGTAATAGACTGTAAAACCGATTGTTATTTTTAGATACTATGATTGACTAGGCTTAAATAAAATCTTAATATAATTTTACTGCTTTAAGTTAGACAGAACATCAGACAAATACCTAACTGAATTTTAGTGTCCCGGATCCTATGCGATACTGTATGAAACAGAATGTTACGTGCACATATTGTCTCAGCAAGTAGGTTTATCTTTGTAAAAAACCTATTTGCCTTCAGAATGTAGTTCATAGATAGCAGATTATCCGTTCGTTGTAGTGTGAGAAAAGTAGGTCGTGGACATCTTGATTTTGGCTCGTACAAAAGTATTAAATACAATTCA